TAGACTGAAGAACAAAATGACAGCAACTTGTCTGTTCCCCTTCCCCCAATTCCCCAGCACTGTTCCCATCCCCCCAATTCCCCAATTAAAAAAAAAAATCTTTAAAAAAAAAATTGTGAGAAATTCTGCTTTATATCATTTCTATTAACATAATGCAATGGTGCTTCATAATTACATTGTTTACCATCCATATTTTCTCCTTACCCATTACAAATATATGTAAAAGCAAAGAAAGAGCACACAGACTATGGAAATATACCTGGCACACAGCTAAGTGAGGAGGCTGTCAGATTATTATACCACTAATATATTAACTTGTGCCTGTATTTTTAGAACTAGACAGGTTTCTGTCATTAAGCATACCTAAAGTAAAAAACCTGTATTTTCAGCAAAAGTATTTTAATGATTGATTAAACACTTTATAGAAAGGATTCATAGGCGTGAGCTCCTTATACGCTATCATCTGAATGTTAGAAGCCCAGCTTACAGATTTTTGGAAGAAAACACCGTTTTATCTTACAAGACACATCTACAAATCTGTGGTCAACGAAGTACCCAATATTATAATCACCAGGGTCCACGATGAAACAGGCCAAAAAACACTGATATATCTAAGAAATCAGAAGTGGCCTCATTTCAAGATCAGTTTAACTTAAGATGTCAAAAGAATTTAAAAAGGCTAAATCTAAACAGTATTCAAAAACTAAGCATCGTTCTTCTTAAAGTTTTTTGAGCTCAATTTTTAATTAACTAAAATGAAATAGAAATATTTTCTTTTTATTCATTTCTTGGTCCCTGGGCCATTCTCGCTGCATATGAGCTGTTCAGAGTAAGCTCTCAGTCAGGTAATTCTCCACCCCACCTCCAGGAACCAACAGACTCTAGTAAATACTGTAACAACAGTTCTTCCTTGACTCACTTGGCATCCAGGTTTGCAGGAAGTTTTGGCTGTCTATTATCTATCCATCAAATACTTAAACAGTAATAGAGGAAGCCCTTTGAGGCTCCAGGAGGAAGGAACAGAAGTAACCAGGCAGCTCAACAAAGTCTTTTGAGTATCTATCTATTGGGGTTCTTTCATTATTCCGTTCCTAGTTGCTTTTGCCAACACAGCAGCTTTTCCTTATAAAGTCATATACTTTTTTTTTTTTTTAAGATTTTTATTGGGGAATTCGGGGGATGGGAACAGTGCTGGGGAATTGGGGGAAGGGGAACAGACAAGTTGCTGTCATTTTTGTTCTTCAATCTAGTGGTGGAGGATGTTGCTTCACTGGCCCAAGCTGGCACCATCATTGTGCTCTTCCTGGACGAGGCAGATCAGTTGCCGGCTTCTGGACGCCGCTCACTGCGGCTGCTGGCCGCTCAAGCTGGCTGCTGGCTACACACGGTAGCCCATGGCAACCCACTGCCACAGGGGCTGCAGCCTACGCCGTTGCCGGCGACTCATGGCAACCCAGCTCCAGGTTGAGCTGTTGTTCAGCATCTTAGCTGTGGAGGGCAGTGTCACTGGCCCTCATATGTGGGATCCGAACCGGGGCCTTCTGGCATCCCAAGCGAGTTCTTAACCATCGCGCCACTCGGCCGGCCCTAAAGTCATATACTTTTAAGTCTCTGCTAAAATGGGTCTGTTATTGGTTCTGTAACACTTCTATTAGCTTATAAACCAAAGAATTAGATCTCAATCTACCATTTCCTTTGAATTCCTAAACAGAACATCAGTGCCATGCACTTTAAACAAATAGAGCTTCTTCTATAACCATAATCTCCATGGATATTACATTCATGTCAGTAGAAACAAATTAAAACAGAACTTGCTTCCAAAAACAGTTTTACAATACCAGCCAAAGAATATAAAGATACTATAACCAGGCTGGGTCTGAGAGCCAAGGCACACTAAAAAACACATTCCAAAATTAATACCTATCATTCTTGTACATTTCTCATCTCAGGACAATGCTTAGCAACACCACCTGTTAATGAGTGCTCATTTATAGGATTAATTTACAGATTTTATCCAAAGATAAAACCTCAGTCTTCTCATAACTTAATTTTAATATTGTCAGTCTGACACTGACCCTAATATCTAATTTCAACTTCCTCAATCAAGAGCTAAAAAATTTTAAATGACTGTAATGAAACACATAAGAACAAAAACCTAAACCTCACAGCATCAAAAACGACACCAATTGGGCAGCCAGTTAGCTCAGTTGGTTAGAGCGCAGTACTCATAATACCAAGGGTGCTGGTTCGATCCCCACATAGCCCATTGAGCTGCGCCCTCCACAACTAAACTGAAAGAACTACTTGACTTGGAGCTGATGGGTCCTGGAAAAACACAGTTCCCCAATTAAAAAAAAAAATGACACCAATTAAAACCAATTAATTAAATATACCACCACCAACCCAACATATTAAATGCTTATTTTTCAAAACTTTAATTTTCAACAAGTATAGGTCAAATCTCATGAAATCTAAATTTATGGGAGGAATCCAAAACTTTACACTGAGACTTTGCTGTAACAAATTGCTTGACAGGAGTTGCTTAGGCTGGTCATCTTATATAGGGCTTTTGCTATGACATTACTGTATTATTGAGATCTAATACGTAGGAAAATGCATGTTTCTTCTAGAGGCAGTGCAATATGAGACAATGTGTACATATTTTACAATTAGCATACCAACTATCTGTTTCTAATTGGATACCCAAAAGAATCTATTAAATTGTTCAAATGCTTCCAGTGAAACCTTAAAGTGCTAGCAAACTCCTTCCCTATCTATATAAAGATAAAACAAATCTCTATTAATGAGCTCATTAATGAAACCAATCTAATGGGCTAAAAAAGTTCATTTCTATAATTATGAAATAGATACAACCAACTAATTTTACACCAGGCTGTATTGAGCATTGTGAAGAACATAACAGTATTCTATAGGTTTAACTTTTATTCCTAAGGATTTTATAACTAGTTGAAGAAATAAGACTTAAGATAAATGTAATAACTGGTAAATACTGACATGGATATCACATACTAACAGTATACTATAGATAACTTCTTCAAACTGTATTCCCCTCTTGGAGCTGTTTTAGGCTGCCTCAAGAACAAGAAAAAATGCAAAGGAGCAATTCCATTTTAATCATTTTATATGAAGATTTAAGAAAAAAAAATCCTGATACTAAGAACAAATTTTAAAACCATTAGACAAAAATACATATGCTGTAGGAGTCCAAGTAAGAAAGTTGAACTATATTTCTATATTGACTAAAAATAAAATATAAATGTAGATTTGAAAGGGTTCATTACATAAGCAGAACATTAAAGATAAAGGATAGCAGAGGGGGGTTTAATGAGAGGACAAAAGTGGAAAAAAAAAAAAAAAGGCCAAATATTATTCACTTGTATAATGACATTTGCTCCTACAAAGAACATAGATGACTTAGCGTCCCAATTCCAACTCTATCAACAGTTATATAACATTAAGAAATTTAGAGTAGGGCCGGCCGAGTGGCGCGATGGTTAAGAACTCGCTTGGGATGCCAGAGGGCCCCAGTTCGGATCCCACATATGAGGGCCAGTGACACTGCCCTCCACAGCTAAGATGCTGAACAACAGCTCAACCTGGAGCTGGGTTGCCATGAGTCGCCGGCGACGGCGTGGGCTGCAGTCCCTGTGGCAGTGGATTGCCATGGGCTACCGTGTGTAGCCAGCAGCCAGCTTGAGCGGCCAGCAGCCGCAGTGAGCGGCCGTCCAGAAGCCTGCGACTGATCTGCCTCACCCGGGAAGAGCGCAATGATGGTGCCAACTTGGGCCAGTGAAGCAACGTCCTCCACAACTAGACTGAAGAACAAAATGACAGCAACTTGTCTGTTCCCCTTCCCCCAATTCCCCAGCACTGTTCCCTTCCCCCCAATTCCCCAATAAAAAATAAAATAAAAAAAAACAAAAAAACAAATCCAATGTTATTGTTAAAATTAAACATTTTAAAAAAAAAAATTTAGAGTAGTTTAAGAGACTCAAAAAAATCCTATGCAGCTGATTCAGGTATCATGAAAATAAAAAGCTTAGAGCCCCTTTTAATAATGCTAATTGTAAAGAAATAGAATAGCAACTGTAATGTTTGAAAGACGTTCAGGAAACAAAGACTAATGGATGTAAATTCCATCCTATATACAGAGAACACAATTAGAATTAGTTCTGATATAAATCTAAAAAGTACATTAAATGATGATGTCTCTGTTTATCTATTCCCAAACTAGAAATAATAATCTTTGCTTTTTGACTACCTGAAAAGTTAAATTTTAACTTTTATGAAGGTATTATTGATAACAGTTTTAGTAAGGCATTACTATTTCCTTTAAAGTTACATAAAAGGAGTTTGAGTTAACTTTTAAGATTTCTTAGAATTCTAACATAAGTAGGCGACACATAATACCACATAAATATTTAACTGACATCATCACCTAAGGAAGCTACCCCCATCACCCTATTTTAAAGAAAATCGTATAAAATTATCATTTAATCTAGTTTAAAATTTAAGTTACAAAGCCACCATTTTAGCATTCAAAGAAAAAATTATAACCAATCATTTGTCAAATACTGTGTACCTACTATATTTCTGGCATTATGCTAGGCACTAAATATAGACAGCAGAAAAACCAAATCAGAAAAGGTCCCTGCAGTAACAGTTTACATGGTGGCACACAGTTTTCTCCATTTAAAGGATTAGAATAGGCTAGCATAAAGGCATATGAAGAAACCTTTATGAAGGCACAGATGGAGGATGAATTTACTTCTTTCAAGTATAAACCAATGTGCTCAATGTTTTATCTTATTCTACATCCTTTCTTTGTGCAATCCACTCCCATCAATAAATCTCAGTAAATACTGAGGACCTTCTATGTGATAGAAGGGAGAGTCAGGGAGGGAGGAAAAGCACTGTTCAAAATTAGATCTAAAACAAAACCAAAAAAGAATAAAGCAATAGTTTCTCCTTAAAGCTTCACCCCAAGCACCTAATATGGTGTGTTGCTAGTTGCATAGTTTTAGCAACCAATTTCAAGAATTCTACATTCCTTTACAAAGTGTTTGGGTATCTACCCATCACATGATTATCCTTGCTTATGATGACAGCAAAATACAGATGGATATCCAAAAAAAATTGCTAAACTCTGAAAAGAATCAAGTATTTTTCCTAATCGCACAACAGACAGAATAATCTACAAACTGAAAAGATTTTGGCAAAAAGCTGAAGAACACTTACTTCTGTCCCAATTCCAGGTTGCATGCCCGAGTACACGCTATCTGGTGGAGGACCACCATACTTCCTCTGTCCTGTGGTTACATCCAGAGTATAACCAGTCCTCTCAAGCAGGGCCTAAAGACAATTATACATCTATTTATACTTGAATAATAAATATCACACACAAATCACTGTATTAATATTTTCCAAAAGGCACCCCAACCCCTTAGGCTATGTATTTTATAATTAGGTCAAAAAATGTTAAAATTCTCACTGGTTCCTCTCACACATGTTGCTCCCACTTTATTTTACTTCTCCTTTCCATTTAATAGAAAGAGTTATAGGCTCTAAGGACATACCTTCTGTTATGAGAACAAAAAAAGGGCGCAAGGATTAAAACTGTGACATAAGCTGACCTCAGGCTACCTATTCATACTTACATACCACAGTACGCCTCATTTTGCACCCCCTCTACTTCAACTAGACCTCTTTTCTTACTTGTCCCCTTTACATACCACACATCCACCAGTGATTCTTTCCAAATAGTGTTCTCTATCCTTAAAAAATCAGAAGTCCTACCTCTCATGCAGCCTCTCATTTACTATTTCTCATATCTTCCTACTCTTTCTATTGTACTGAATTTAATCTCTTTTTTGTTTGATACTTTTGTTTTATACTCCTGCTATACCATAAAGTTCTGTAAGAACCAGACCATTTCTCATATAGCTCATAGACTCACTGAGACTCATAGACTCAAAATATTTCACAGTTACCAAATGAATATACTCAGGCTTCATAAAACAAAACCTCATGTTTCTCATTTCCTACCTTCCTCACAACATTATATTCGGTCTTAGGAGGAATTGTAGAAAATAATGTCTTTGCCCTCAAGTTTGTTTCGTTTATATGAAAGGCCTACAGAAGAAAGACACAATGGAAAAAAAGAAATGCAATCTACCTACAAAGGGGAGTATTTTACACTTCAGGTTTTAAAAATTATACAATGTCAGAGCAGCAAGATATTTAGACACCATCAAGTTTCGAGGGTTTCAAAAATATTTTGGAGAAACCCTGGAATTCCAGTTACCTTTGACCCTCCATTCTTTTACCTTTGATTCAAACAGAGCTGCTCTACTTTTTTTTTTTTTTTTAAGATTTTTATTGGGGAATTGGGGGGATGGGAACAGTGGTGGGGAATTGGGGAAGGGGAACAGACAAGTTGCTGTTGTTTTGTTCTTCAGTCTAGTTGTGGAGGACGTTGCTTCACTGGCCCAAGCTGGCACCATCATTGCGCTCTTCCCGGGTGAGGCAGATCAGTCGCCGGCTTCTGGACGGCCGCTCACTGCGGCTGCTGGCCGCTCATGCTGGCTGCTGGCTACATACGGTAGCCCATGGCAACCCACTGCCACGGGCTGCAGCCTACGCCTTCGCCGGCGACTCACAGCAGCACAGCTCCAGGTTGAGCTGTTGTTCAGCATCTTAGCTGTAGAGGGCAGTGTCACTGGCCCTCATATGTGGGATCCGAACCGGGGCCCTCTGGCGTCCCAAGCCAGTTCTTAACCATCGCGCTACTCGGCCGGCCCGTGCTGCTCTACTTTTAAACATAGAAATAAATGTAATGTATAAAACATATATAACATGAGGTCAGGAAGTTAAGTTCACGAACTTGTTGCAATGATGTTGTTAGCATTTTTGATATCAGAGGGATTATTCATTATGAGTTTGTACCAACTGGACAAATAGTTAACCAAGTTTACTATTTGGAAGTGCTGACAAGGCTACATGAAAAAGTTAGATGGGGCTGGCCGAGTGGCGTGCTGGTTAAGCGTTGGCTTGGGACACCAGCTCTGAGCAGCAGGGCCTGGGTTCGGTTCCCACATGAGGACCAGTGACGCTGTGCCCTCTACAGCCAAGATGGTGAACAACAGCTCGATCTGGAGCTGGGCTGCCGTGAGTCGCCAGCAACAGCGTAGGCTGCAGCTACTGTTGCAGTGGGCTGCCGTGAGCTACCAGTGAGTGGCTGGCAGCCAGCGTGAGCGACCAGCAGCTGGCGTGAGCCGCTGGCAGCCGGCGTGAGCTGCCGTGAGCAGCTGTCCAATGGCCGGCGAGCAACTGCCTCACGGGGAAGAGCACAATGATAATACCAACATGGGCCAGTGAAGCAATGTCTTCCACAACTAGACTGAAAAACAAAAGGACAGCAACTTGTCTGTTCCCCTTCCCCAATAAAATCTAAAAAAAAAAACCAGTTAGATGACTTGAACTTTTCACCAACAATTCATGGCTCTTGCATCACGACAACACACCAGTTCACACGGCACTGTCTGTGAGGGAGTTTTTAGTCAGTCAACAACATATAACTGTATTGGAACACCCTCCCTACTCATCTGATCTAGCCCCCAATGACTTCTGTCTCTACCCGAAGATAAAGGAAATATTTAAAGGAAGACATTTTGATGACATTCAGGACATCAAGGGTAATGCAACAACAGCTCTGATGGCCACTGCAGAACAAGAGATCCAAAATTGCTTTAAAGGGTGGACTAGGCACTGGCCTCGGTGCATAGCTTCCCAAGAGGAGTACTTCAAAGGTAACCATAGTGATATTCAGCAATGAGGTATGTAGCATTTTTTCTAGGATGAGTTCGCAAACTTACTTTTCAGACCTCACGTATATTATACATTTACACATGGTGGTACTTGTATAACATGTAATATACACATATTACACATGTAACACACTCCTTACCAAGAGCAAATAGACTCAGGGAAATAATATAGGCCTATTCAATGAATAGTAATCCGTTTTTTTAAAAACACAATCATTACGTCAAATAGAATTTTCACATACTTAATTATTTCAAAATATAACGGAGTTATGCCATTTTACAAATGAGGGGGAAAAGGTACAAAGGAGTTCTATATAGGCTAGTTATATGACCGAAACTACAAGTTATATTTCCTATCTACATAAAACTGTACAAACATTAAATATTTCAAATTGCAAAGTCTATTACTACAGCAAAACATCAATGTCCATTTAAGGAATCGGGTTCGCTGGTCTTTCACTAAAAGCCCTACGTTTACCTTTCATAGCAGTTTACCTAAATAATAGTAATAATAATGGCTCATAGTTATACAGTTCTTGCTCCATTCCAGGTATTATTCTAAGTGCTTTACATACTTTACTTCCTTTAATCCTCACAACCACTCTATGAGTAGGCACTATTACTATTCCCAGTTTACAAATAAAGAAACTGAAGTAATAAAAACTGAAAAGGAGGAAAGCAGTTATAAAGCCTCCTTACCAAGAGAAAAGAAACAAAGTGCTTGGAAAGAAACTGAACCAAGGCATGACTGGATCGATACAAAAAAACTATTATAGGAAGCATCAATAAATATATATCATTCATAGCCCAAAGAACAAGCAAGAAGGGAGATTCTAAATTAAGAGTTTTCTACCAAACATACAATTAACTGTTTGCCCCCCAAATTCATGTTCTTTTCCCTAAATTATTTCATTTCTAAACAGTAATATTAAAAACTTGAACTATAAAAACTGTTTCAAGGAAACAAGCACTCGATCTCATCATTAAATTTAATTTCATTACCAAGTCAAATTTTACCTTGATCTTTGCTTCATCAGGTCCCTTTGTAGATTCTTGCACCTTGCTCCCCTGTTTCTCCCTTTGCCTGTAGGTCTTCATAACTCCACATAAAAATGCACTTTTGTTCTAGAATAAGCAAGTAATTCAATGAAAAAGAATTACCAGGAATCACTGAAGGGTCAAATACATAATTAAATTTAAATTTCAGAAGACCAGAATTTTAACAAAATGTTTACTCATTTATTCACTCAACAAATATCTGCTGAGTGGTTACTATGTGCTAGAGAGACTGGAGCAGAAAGCAGCAAGACAGCCAAGGCTTCAGGGAGCTTACCTTCTGCACTGGCAAGACAGGCTTCCATTTGTTGATATTTAAATGCACCTGGACTATTCTTTGCCACAGGTTCCAAAACTATTCTCCTACCTACATTATTTCCCCCCAAGATAATAAAACAGGATCAGATAATCCAAAAATGTTTCAAATCTTAGTAATTTAAACATGTTAAAAAAACTAGTAAAAATTAGCAAACCTTGGCTTTGATTTAAAGTTTCTTAAGTAACTTACTGCAAACAAAGGAGTGGGGGGAAGACTTTCACTTTACACTTGTGTTTCTGAAAACTCTTTATCATAAGCAGATCTTTTGTTTTTTTCTTTAAATTTTTCAAAGAAGCCGAGGTAGTCACAAACAAAACATACCACTTCACCACAGGAAAAAAAGGAATAGTAATAACTTCAGGTCATTAATTGCTCAAAGATATTTCTGAGTAATGGCCTTACCTGAACATGTGATAAGTCACTTTCCTTGAACTGTTGTAGTACAGAGAGAGCTCCTTCTTCATTAAATTCCCTGAGAGCATCAATTGCTCTTTCATCAAGATCGACATAAGCTACCAATCCTAAAAATTAAATTGAAAAGAGGTAACATTATTACAACAAAAGAGATCATCTAAACTGTGTTTATTCAAGAGTAGTCATACTCAGTACTATCACTAACAAAATATTTTCATTTCACTATAGGCATATATGCAGCTATACAAATACTACATAGAAAGGCCAAGAGTACAAATATAAAAATAAAAAATTAAATGTCAATACCTATAAACATGAATTTCAATCCCCATACCCCACAAAAAACACAAAAATCTTAACCCCACTGCCCACTCCCCAGGTTTAAATCTTAGAAGTTAAATCTTATGTATACAATGTACTACAGATTAAGCATTAATATAACAAATTCTGGTTTATGTTAGAGTGCTAAGAACACACTGTATATCCCAAGGATCAACTTTCAAATTATATGCACTGTTGTAGTTGTTGCTAACCACACAAGAGGTGGGGAAAAATATGAGAACCACTTCTACTAAATAATTCTTTCTGCTCTCCAAAAAGTGCCAAAGGCTTTCCCTCCTTAGCACCAAAGATAAAATGAAACACATTTGTTTATCCAAGCATCTACTTTGCTGCAGTCAGAATGTGGAAAGGCATAATTTTAAACTTTTCTACAAATGCAAGTGCAGCTTGATCAATCAATTCTGAAAGTTGTATTTTAATGCATTTTTTTTGTTCTTCTGAAGTGTCAAGCTGAGATTTTAAAAGATGCCGTGGCATTCACAACACTCAACAGTAACAACTTTTTAAAAATGGCATTAAGGATTTTACTACGGACTTACAAGTAAACTATACAGAAAACATACACTGCATTCTATATATGTATTATATTTAACTGCACACAGAACATCTACTAAGTTTAAAATATAATTTCTTAAATCTATTAAGTGTTATATTTCTCTATATATATGTATAAGAAATAGATTTCAGAATTGATCCAATGTAAAATGGAAATATTTGGTAGATTAAAACCCCCAAGTCCACATGAACTAACATCAGAAGTGACTCCCTTTTGGTTAAAGCCAAAAAGAACTTTATTCCATACAATAAATGTATTTAAATAAATGTAATGCCATTTGCAGTTACTTTTAAAAAACATTGCGATGATTTGGTTTAAAAGCTCAAAATGAGCATGTCTAAATAATTGGCGTTTCCTTGCTTGCATATTCCATACCACCACCCAAAGCCACAACTCAGGACACCCATCAATCCATTCTGTTAAACCAACCCTACACTCAAGCCATCAGCATTTTATCAATAACAAACACTCTACAAGAGAGCATCTCTAAGCAGATCACTGCCAATTCTCTATGGCAGAATGTCACAGAAAATTCCTGAGGACTGATTTTCAAATGCGACCATCACTCAGGAATCATTTTTAGAAGTCATTTTAATGTCTGAAATTATCCTGAGCCTTTCTGACTTAAAAATTTTTTAAAGAACAAAAAAATAAAAAACCAAACAAAAAATCCCCAGATATTTGGAACTATGGTACTTAATACACATTTGTGAGACAATTCAATTCTCTCTCCCAGAATCTGGATAGGCACACAAAACACTGAGGAAGAAAGTTTCCATCCATGGCCCCAGAGCGGGAGGACACATTTATTGATGAACAATACTCCCTAAAGGTAAATATTTCTCTCCCTCTTTAAAACTTCAAACCACCTACAACCAACCATGTTAAGATGTTCAAATTTGCTTAAGCACTTAACCATGGGACTTCTAGATTAAAAAATAAAAGCAGCTGTTACAAACCAAACACTTCCAAATTACTGAGAGATGTGGATTTCTGTCTATTACAAACTAGATAGGCCACAAACTCTCAAGGAGTCTGACATTTATTGTCATTTCCGACAATACAGTCTAACTAGTCCTCTTATTATGCCACCTAATCAGAACTAAGCTGATTTAACAATCCCTTTAAGAAGCTAAAAGTAGAAAAGTAAAAGCAAAATGATGACTGACTTAGATTAAGAAAAAAAAAGTAAAATTTGGTATGCTGAAACATACATTTTAATTGGTGGTAAATCTAAGACAAATTGATGTACTGTTCTGAAACAACTAAGACTGCATATTCAACACTAAGAAGGCTTCAAAATAATGCGATAAGAATATCAAAGTCAAACCCAATATGCCCTCAATGAAGGGAAAGTAACAAACATTCAGCTCTACATAGATCAGAAACAATAAGTATTAATTAACCTTAAAAAATCTATAAAATTCAAAGTGGTTTGTCCTCACTTTCATAACCAGTCAGAAACAAGAAATGCATATTATACCTGTCTGAAATATTTCATCAAGTCTTTCTGCCACCTTCTGTGGGAGGCCTGCCTCTATCAGTGTCTTGTAGTGTTCTGTGTGAGTTACACTGGAAGTATCCATTGGTTCTTCCTCTTCTTTTAACTGTACCGCATTACCATTCACCTGATTAGCCATTTTATTATGCTGCTGGAAAAAATTCAGGAGCTATATTACATTAAGCCAGAAATAACTAGTTTGTAGGACAATGCATGATTTATCTAAACTAATTTGTATACATGCTGCTAATAACCTCTATCAAAATAATATTTTATGCCTTTTGTGATGTAACTGACCTAAATTTGGAATAACAATCCTGTAAAACCATAGGAAATAATGTACATGGAAGCATTAGATCTTTAAGGAACTTCATGTACACTAGGTTAAATAAAGGCTTGAATTTACTTAAGATAGAATCGCTGATTAACAAAAGCAGCTGTTGTGTCCTGACAAGCATATCAACAAATCACCACGAAATCCTAAAAAGCCCCTCAGCTCTCAATTCTTATACAGTTTTAAAAAATTTGGTTTAAAAACATAATGAACACCCACAGACCACTTAGTCAAGGTTTAAGGATATTCAAATTTTCCTAGCTCTGCTTCAAATCCAAGATAGGTATGAAATAAATGCCCTGTTGTCTCTAGTTCAACACACTGGTGGTTTGGGTTTTCTCCGCCTCACTTAAAACAAAACAAAAACACAACTTGACATTATTTTTTGTTCTAAAATTAATTTGCTATTCCCATTCACAGATTTAAAAGAAAAAATGACCAAGTTTAAAAGCTAAACGATTGTTGTAAGTCCACACAAAATAAAGTGAGCTATATTTGAAGTTGCTTCATTAAAAAAAAAATCATGAGTACATACTGAATTTTTTCATATCAGTAAAATAAAGCTGCAAAAACATAATGAAGAATGGACAGACTAACTTCTTCCAAATTGTTTCAACCAACCCTACTTAATTAGGATAAACTTAGGTCAGATGTCTCAGATTAACCTACCCACATCATTTTGTATGTTCAATCTGTCTGTAATGCTGAAATGAACCAACTCCCTGAAGAGAGTGATTAAATAATAAAAACAAACAAGGCAAGTCTCTATACTGCCTCAAAAGACAGAGAATTAAAGTGCATTTATCTGTGGTGAAATTATGAGATGAAGATAATAAGCAGCAGAATAAAGACATTGCAACGAATACTGAAATAAAGGACATGAAGGTGGATCTCAAGGAAAAGCCTATTTTTCTTGATGAAACTCAAGGTAATTAGTCACCTACAGAGAAAATACAAATTTCCTAAAAAACACTAAAACTCGTAAGATAACCATACTTCCAGGCTGCTTATCAAACACTGTGCAAATGTACTAGGTGCAGCTTTCTGGCTTAAAACAATTTCTTTTCATTTCAAAGTCCACTAATATTTAGTTGAAGTTAACGAAAAAGGAAGACCGAGAGGAAGGAGGTAATAGAGAATAGCAAGAGAGGAATATGCAGTTACTCTGAAAATGAGATAAACAATACCATGAGTTCTTATGATTACAAATCATTAAGACTTGATAGCCCACTAATGTCTATACAGACGCAGACTCTGTGGTTAAACTCTGGGTGGATAAATGTTTCTCAAGGCAAGCCTCAAATTCTGATGAACTGACAAAACAAAAACATTCAAAACTGGCAAACTTTGATCAAGAAACTACTTATAGTGAAAGATGAATATGTTTACTGATTAATACAACCTATTTCTATAAAGATGCATCCTAAAGTCCAGTCTCTTTGTGAACATATAGTTCTGTTTTCCCATGCTCCCCAATCCCCAAATACGACCATAAGATCATCAGAACTCAAAAGTTCTCAGTATCACAAGATCCTCACTGTATTGCACCTGGAAATACTATTAGTCACAGAAAGAAAGCAATTTTTTAACAGAAAAGTTGAATGAACATCTGGTAAAGTGGTGTGCTTTTTAAAGTATGTGTAAAGCAAAGAGACAAGCTGTATATTAAGCACAAGATAGAAATATTTATGACTACTATTTCATTGCAAAGGCTCTTTGCTGGCTGATTCTCAAATTGGTTGAAATTAAAAAAAAAAAGGCTTGTAAACTTTTAACCAAAAAAAATGTAAAATAATTAGATTCCAGAAGATAAAACCTTTCAGATCAAGGAAAAACTTCTCTCTTCAAGTCAAATATAATGTGCTCATTTAAAAGACTTTTAGGTCAAATGAGACCATTTAAAACTCTTGTTTCAATTCAATACAATGCCACACAGCCAAACCATATTTCTGATGCAGCAAATATACTAATGTGACTGGAGTCATTTGATCTAAGCACTTTTGCAAAAAGTCGAAATTTCATTAAGATTTAAAAGGGCTGCTGGGAGATTAGGGAAGTCAGCACTCGCCCCTCCCTGACTTGCTGAACATCTCTGTGCAAATTAAGAGACGAGCTGTTAAAGAACCAACGAAATGAAAACTAACGGTTATCTCATGGTTTAGGAGTGTCAAGCCCTTATCCTACGACTGACTCATGAGACATAAATCCAGCCTTTGAGGACAGCAAAAATCTCAAACAGGCAGTGTGAAAAGACTGGACCTTCCAAGAACCCCGTGGCTTTAAGTTTTAAATATTGGCAATACGGTTACTACCGTGTAAGAAAAATAACTGCCTTTCCAATTTAGTGCGCCTAGGACATTCTTAGAATTATGTATCTCAGGCGCTGCTTGAAGCCTAAGTTTCACGGCCTCTAGTAGTCATTTTTTCCTTCAAATCTCAGCTCGCAGCATGCAGAATGGGGGAGGGGAGGGCTTCCTACACACGTCGGCCTTTCGGCTTCTGTTTCCCACAAAAGTTTTCTCCGCTCACGTAACCCGTGGTTTGCATCCCGCCCTCTGCCCACCCCACCCCCTCATGCCCATCCCGACAATCAACACATCCCACCCGTGGCTAGGCCGGCTGAGATGGGAGCTAGGTGGCTCCCGCAAGGAGAAGCGATAGGGTAGCGGGGGCCTCAGGCCGCCGGCCACGCCGCGTGGAGCGGCTGGCGGAGGCGGGAAAAGCACTGCCGACCGCTGCAGGCCGCGCAAAGGGCGTCTGGCGGCCGGGCCCCGCGGGCCGGGGATTGTAGGGGAGGGGGGGGAGATGAACGAGGGCGAGGAGGCACTTCAGCGGGGCTAGGCCCTCAGTTATGCGGCCAGACGAGGCCGAAGCCGCCCCCAGCCCATCCCCACCCCCACCCGGGGCCTCGGAGGGAAAACGAAACTGGGGACCAGGCGCCGAGCCCGGGCCGGGCCCAGTAGGGTCGGTCGGGGCTCCCGGCCCCTCCCCCCACGGGCCGGCGCTAGACTCACCAGGGCAGAGCAGGGGCCGACGGCTGGGCCCGTGAAAATCAGCGCGAGGCGCTTTGAAAACGACTAGAAATGGCGCGCGCGCCACCCCCTGCCCCCCCTCATGGACAGAGACGCGATCCCGGCAGCACGCGGGGTTTCCCGGAACTGCTTCCAGGGACTCCGAGTGGCCGGGCAATCACCTCGCGCGACGACCTGAGAGGCAGCTCAGGCAACCAATGGAAGCAAGAAGAGGCGTACCACGCCGGACTACTCGGGAGCCAATCGATGAAGCCGTCGGTTGAGCCAATGAGAGAACTCAGCGCCACTGGCTGGGGCGCCTCCGGGGCGGGGGCAGGAACACAAAGGGGTCTGTGGTGAAGCCCCAGTTAGAGGCGAGGCTGTGGAGCCCAGGCCCTGGGGGGTCGAGGCTCCTCCCTTCTTGCCTGCCGCCGACACAAGATCTAAAACCTAGGCCTAGCACCTCGTGGCAGCCTCCGGAACCCCGCCCCTTACCGTCCTCGCCAGCCCGCTACGCCGCGGCCCACCCCCCGCTTCGCCGGTGCCGCAGCGTCCCTAATCGCCCCTCTAGAGGCGCCGCCGCCGCCAGCGTTTGCTCCAGACACGCCCACCGCCACGCGGTCTGGCCTCCCTCTAGGTCATCTTTTGGACTCCTGTACAACACGATTGAAGGATGATTTGGCTGGTCGTTTGGGGAATTTCGTGTAGAAAAGTCATCGCTTGGAACGATCGGAACATTGCCCCTCTGTCTCCCTGGCTCCCTTCCACACATTGTTGGGAACAGCTCAAAATGATGGAGAAATCACTAAAGTGGGCAAGACTGAAAAACAATGTTACTCACAAATGATAGAGCAGGGCTTTTTTCCCCACAGGGTTTGGAGCTCATTAATATTCATAAAATAGGCAGAAGAAACCAAAAATCCGTGTAGGGAAAAGGACTGACCCCCAAAGTAACCTAATTCCCGTTATCTCTAAACCTGTTTCTCACCTTCTGCCCTTACTGCAATAATTTTGTTCCTTGTCCTTGCATTAATCCAAATGTTTTATCCCACAGGCCTCTAAACTCACTTCTGTAGACCCAGCCCTTCCCTTCCTCCTTCTACCCTAACCTCCAACGCCCCATCCGTTAGGGAGTGGCGAGTCAAGCAGTGGTCTGCAGGGTTTCCAGATGCGCTCAAACATCATTTAAGTTTCTCAGACCCTAGCAACCAAAAATTAATTATTGAAAACTTACTATGTGCCCAGTGCCGAGCTAAACGTCTTGGTGGATCAAAGTTTTGTACAATCGGGTATGAAATTTAAACAAATGCTGGGTTCTTAAAAAATAATAATAATAATTATATATATATATATATATATATAGAGAGAGAGAGAGAGAGAGAGAGAGAGAGAGAGAGAGAATGATGACTACTAATGTAGGAACAGAGTCTAGGAAAGGTATGGTAAAAAGTGAGGAACCTTGAAGCTTAAAATTTATTAGTCTCTAGCTCAAATGTTCTTAACCTATTTTGTGCCATTTTACAGTATGGTAAAAGCTATGGATCCCTTCTAGGTTTTAAAATAAAATACATAGCATTACAAAAGAAAGTTTATATTGAAATACAATTAGTATTTGTGGCACAGTAATCTGTTTTTCTTTATTAAGACATGAAATGTCAAGATCTTGCAGCGGGTCCAGTAACTAATGAAATATTAAAGCAGTTAGAAGATATTTCAAGAAATCCATAGTAACTATAATATGATACGAGAAGGTCTGTGATTTCTATTCAGTGAAAGGTACTGCTAATTTGACTGTGGTTTGTTGCCTACATTCACGATGGGGGGAAATGCCTAATTTCAATTGGACATTAGTTAAAATAAAGATGCTATTTTTTTCCATCTCAGTTGAAGGACTGTTAAATTCCATTCAGAGACGCTTTTAAGTCCATTAGTCACAGGATAAGAAACCCTGGGCTGGATATTGCAATTAAAGTGATTCTATCACTTAATATTTTCTGGGATAATATTTAAAATATTTGGCCATATGATCCTCGTAAGTATACTCCACCATTTCAGACCATATGTCTTAATTTTTTTTATTTTGAAAATATGGTCATCCGAGCATTGCATTTCCACAAAATTGTGTGTGTATTCATGAATTCAATATTCCATAAATATTTATTGCATGCCCTCTACATACAAATCACTTTTTTTTAAAGTAGGAAATATAGGGCCAGCCGAGTGGCGCAATGGTTAAGAACTGGCTTGGGACGCCAGAGGGCCCCGGTTCGGATCCCACATATGACGACCAGTGACACTGCCCTCTACAGCTAAGATGCTGAACAACAGCTCAACCTGGAGCTGGGCTGCTGTGGGTCGCCGGCGACGGCTAGGCTGCAGCCCCTGCTGCAGTGGGTTGCCATGGGCTACCGTGTGTAGCC